GGTTTGCTATCGTCCGCGTTGGCCTATAAAACTACGGCTCTGCAGGACTATATAGGGCTTGTCCTTGTCAAATGGGTCCAAGCAGGACGTCAAAGCAATTCTATTGGCTTGAAAAATACTTTTAATAGGAATCTTGTTCTATGTCTGATTAGAAAATCTAAAGTTAAATGCATGATATATTCTGTCATATGTAAAAATGACTAATAATGTATTTTAAATACATGTATAATGGTAATTTACAGAAGATATATTGATAGCAAAATTCAGCATATCTCTTTTTTTTTTATTAAAGTTTCAGCATACTAGCCTAACATATTTCTAGCTTGCTAGCTTAGGCCTATACTCTACAGGTCACTTACCATACACATACAGTATACGCAAATCTTTCAAAATCTTTTTTTTTTTATGAAATCACTGTTAAGCATTGATGGCAGTACACAGGCTGTATACTTATCTATGCGTCAGCTGAGCAACTACCATTGAGATGAATGGGAATTCTTATGCAATTTTTGGTTACTTTCAAGGGCATTTTTAGAATGTCGTGTCGTGCGAGACACGAGCAAAACGGTCAAACCTGCCTGTCCAGCACAAGTTTACATGGAATTTGGAAAAGTAGCACAGTGAAATTTAAAAAAGGCCCCCAACAGTGCTTCCACAACAAACTATAATATACTATATTACTCTATAATTATGACATCTATCAGGTGCAGAACTAAAGACTCACAACCTATCTGGCAACATGCCCTCTAAAATAAGGCTTCAACTGCATCCCAAATATGTTTGCTTCTCTTCCACCTACAGAATCCATCTGTTCACCTGCTGTCCTCCTTGCCATCTTAATCTCTGTTCTCAAGCTCACCCACATGCCATTAACCTGCTCCATCTAAATTGTCTCCTCTCTCCCACACACACCTTCATCTTTTCAACAGTCAGTCAAATCCAATCAGTTTCTCCGAGCCCAATGCTCAATGTGCATAATAGTTTGCACTGTTAATAGTTTGCAGAGAAACACAATTTCGTTCTGCTGGACACTTGTTGTAAGGCTAGACTGACAATAAAGTATTTGAACTTGAACTTGAACTTGAAATGCTGAAACTGACAAAACTAATGAACTCTAATGAGGCCAACAGCTCCTGACGTGGGAGTATTGACCAAAAGCCAAAGAACACTGGGCATCTAGAGCCTGATAAAAGGTAGAATATCCAATAATCACACTGAAAGCCATAAGGTAATGAATTTCCCTTTGGGGTGCAGGACAGAAGGGATTCATGCAGCTGCATCCGATTCTTAATTAAGATATGGAGGAGGGCCAGGGTGGAAGATAAATGTATTGCGGTGTGAAAGGTGTTGAGGAACAATACCATAGTTTGGGAAGCAGACTTTGAGGCAGCAGACGGACGACAGAGTGGTGAGATTTGTCAAGCTGGATAAGCCGAAGAGGACGCCACATACAGCATAGCACAAACATGTCAGCTCTCCGAACAGCCACCTGAGAGAATGAGAGAGAAGCAAGTAAAGAAAGCAATGGACAGTAACTTTTTGAGTTTTCAGTAAAACCATCTTTACATTACAAATATGGCACAGAAGCCAGATCTGAAATGGCTGAAAAAAAACATTGCCACAGAGTTTTGATGTGTGGCATCACATGCACATTGTTATTTAAATTATATCTCGTAATTTTTAAAATGTTGTATCTCATAACTACAATACATTTCTTGTAATTGGAATTTTTTAGCTCACAATATGATTTTGCCTTACAGTTGTGACTGTATACCTTACAATTGCTACTTTTTTTCTTATATTTGCAGCTTTATTTCTTGTAAATACGATTTTATGTCTCTCAGTGTAATTTTACATCTCAGTTACCATCTTATTTCTTGTGATTGTGATTTTTTTTTATCTCACAATGTAAGATTTGTGTGTCTTTGTGTTTGTCAATTTGAACTGCATATTTCACAATTGCTACTTTATTTCCCATAATTGCAACGTTTTATTTCTTTGAAATGTGATTTTAGCCCACAATATGATTTTTAATCTTTCATTTAATAATTTAAATTTTACCCTTTTACTTCTTGTGATTGTGATTTTTTTTATCTCACAATGTGATTTTAAGACTATATTTCACAATTGCTCATTTATTTCTCATGTTTGCAACTTTATTTCTAGTTATGATATTATATCTCACAATATAATTTTGTATTTCACAACTCCTTTGATTGTTTTTTTCTCATCTCACAATGTGATTTTATGTCTTGCAATTGTGACTGTATATCTCACAACTGTAATGTGGTGTTTGGGTTTTGTTTCTTGTTCATTGTTTTCATGTATATTATTTTGTAGTTAGGCCTTAGTCATGTTCTGGCATGCTTCCCTTGCCCTCTTGCTATTGGTTCCTCTGTTCATTGGGTCATGTTCTGATTGGTAGTCTTAGTCATGTGTCCTGTCTCTTATTGGTTGGTTCTTGTCATGTGACCTGTATTTTCTGCTATAAGTAGCCATCATGTTGCCGTTGTCTCGGGTCTTGTATTGAAGTTATAACCCGCTGTTGGTGAGTCTAGTCTGTTCATGCCTCGTCAAGTCAAGTCAAGTCAAGTCAAGTCAAGTCAAGTCACGTCACGTCACGTCACGTCAAGTCTTCGTTTATTGTTTGGATGTTTAGATCACTTGTAAATAAAACTGCACATGGGTTCTCACTACGCTCGCCTTCAGTGGACTGAATCATTACAGCAATAAAAATTCTCACATTGCCTTTATTTCTTGTTATTGTGATTTATAGTATATCTTACAATGTGATTTTATATCTTTTTCTTTAAATTAATAACAAGGTGAGACTATTTATTTTAAACTTTCTCAGAATTATCAGTTTTATTTTTACCCTTGAGATTAAAAAAGGCTTCCATTTATTGATGATTCTAGTACCAGCACATAAAAAGAGACATATTCTGATTGTCATGAAAACAGCAAGGTCTAACTCTGTGTCTCAAATGTCATAAATTGCTGTACTGTTGGTTGCTAGTAGGTGTTCCTACTCCACTGCAATATCCAGCTGTATAAAATGTGTGACATTGTGGCACAGTGTTAGGCCGTTCTGCTGCAGCTTTGGTCCTGTGTCAATAAAATGACGCATCAGAGCTGCTTTAGACTTTGTCTCTGATACAAGGGTGAGCATATTTTAGCACAGACTTCTTATGGCGTCTGCCTACTTGTGAGCAAAGGCAGATGGAATCGCCAAGGGAAAGAGAGTAACTGTCATCCCAAGGTCACTAATAGATAAATTTATGATGAAGAATTCTGCCGGCTTGAGAGATGATCTCTTACGATACGCAACAAGGAGCAGGATGCCATTTCCCAAGAGTGACAGAATACCTAAAAAGAGAAAGAAAGAAATTTGGTGAATGGTCACTACAACAAGCACTTTGTTTTTCCTTGTTCTAACACCCTGCAACCCCTATTTTACTGTTTTGTTATTGCTCAGACAGCTTGGCAAGACCTGAAACTGCTATGATTTATTCTCGCACGATTTGAAGTCATATGTCCTCTTGCTCCGTTTGCCGATGACCTCTGAAGTTTTGATCTAACATCCCTTGAGACTTTAACGTTCACAATATAGCTGTATCTCAAGCATCACATTTTGGATAAAAGCATACAAAAAGGCATAAATATAAGTGTTGCATGATTGTGTTCCAATGAGAAACTTAAACTTAAAACTTAAATTTAACAAAGTGAAATGAAACACAACTATTTAGTTCATCAAGTGCATAACCTCACATCCTTGTGGTACGTTTTATGCTTATTTAGCAATATTTTCCAGGCAATGACGTTAAGTGATTAAACCTCTGCAAAACCATGAGGTGCTTCATGCAATTAATTGCTTCAGACAATTCAAGGTCATCATCAAGAGCATATCACTCCTAGTAAAAAAGTAATATACTTAAAATACGTTTGTCATACTAAGTAAAATCTATTAACATATACTGACAGATAACTCGAGACTTACTGATATAAAAATTATAATGAAACTTTACTTGGCATATTACTTGTGCACAATGCACTTTTCTTAATATTAAGTGTGTTTTAATGTAATTTTGATGAGGATTGTATGATCTTTGAATGAAATCAGACTTTAAATGCAAAAATATTTAAAGAGTACCTGAAGTGTACTTGCAATAGTCCCACTTTAGCACAATAAAATATACTACGTATATATTTGTACTTCAGCACAATTAAAGTGCATTAAGTACAAATTAGTTGTTCCAATTTAGCAGACTTTATGTATACCAGTTTAATATACTAAAAGTACAATTGCAGGACATTTTATTAAGCACATACATATAAACATTTAACTGTAGTATACTTAGCATGAAATAAATGTATTTCAAATACATTTAAGTATATTTATTTTTCACTAGGGACAGCTAACCATTCTAGGAATTTTTAGTTTAGCGACAAAAATAAAGACAATCAGAGTAAGCATTAAGGCTATACTTTCAAAGCTGAGTGCTCCTGTTTAACATGAAGTGTATTTTGGTATCTGGATCAATAGTGTTTTTGTTCTATCCAGTAATTTATCCAAACATACATTGCAAATGGAGTTCATACTGTAGATACAATTACTTTAATACATCTCTGCTATGATGAGAATATCTTTCATTTCTGAATTAAAATTCATTTTGATAAAGTCAAGAGGGGCAAACATTCCAAAATATCAGGGAGACACAACCCACCTGATAACATAAGAAAAAAGACTAATTAAAAGAATGAAATTCTTGAAAAGAAACATTTATTTTTGGTGTCATCTTTACTAATTCATGGGGGGAAAGTATATAAAAAAATTATATTTGTCATTTTGGGTAACCAACAAAGTCACGTGTGGTCCAAACAACATGCAGATAGGCCCCCTATAGACCCTCATGTTTGTGTATCAAGGTCAAGTCTCCTAAAACATTGAGATTTTTATGACAAGGCAAGGTTAGTCCAGGCTGTAAAATATCAGTAATTTATGATATTTGTAAAAACCATATGATAATAAACCGTATGAGATCAACATGAAAAAATCCTCATGCCATTTCTCCTCTCTCTTCCTCAACTTTACTGTCTCTCGACTGTTCTATAAATAAAGGTTAAAAAGTCCATAAATAATGTGAATACTATCAGTTGTAAGTGAATGGACTCACAGAAGGTTGTGTATAAAGAACCCATGAAGACATCGTGCTCCTTTGGGATTTTGGAAACAAAATGGGAAGTTTCCGTGGTATTTCCCATCTGCAGAAAAAGGAAAAGACAATACAAGAAGTTTAGATGAACAGTGGGGAAAGGATGAGGCTAAAGCTGTGGTAAAACAAGAACAAGTATTAAGCATTCATGAGCGAGCTGAGGGTTTTCAAGGCTGAAACAGGGGACTTTGTGGTTCAATGAGCTTTTGCTAATTTTATTGCTATTGTGTGAATAAGAGAGATTACTTTTCATGTAATGGATAAAAAAGTAACTGTAGTCTGATTCCAAGTATATTCAAATGTAATACAATTTTAAACATTTATAATTTTTTTTACAAGTATTTACATTTTGGAATCTGATTATGTAATCCAGATTACATGTAATCAGTTACTACCCAGCTCTGACTGTACCACGTTGGTGATAAATGCAAGAACCAATGAAGTCTGTATGTCATTTCTTTATTTACTCCACATATGCTTACATAAACAAATCAATGTCCTGACGTGAGTTCCCGATTTAAACAAGGGAGGTTGAGATTTTGAGCGAATGCTTCTTAAAGTACAGTCTGTTTTTCTCATAAAGCATTCAGAAGACTTGAAATAACATACACAAATCATATGCACTAAGTGTATGGTTCTTTTATGTGCTTTTTTTGGAGCTTGACAGTAACAATCACCATCCTCTCATACTTGTGCTTCATGGATCCACAGATTTTACAAGTTGAGCAAGAAATAATGATTTCATTTGATAACCCTAATTTGAGAAGCACAGCCTTGCAAAAGCTAGTACATTTGAAAGTATAAAGAATAAATGATGAGGACATGGTAAATAAATAAATATTATATGGCAGTCTGTGTGGCTTTCATGTAACAAGTTTTATTTTTTTTATTTAATTT